TCGACCAGCGCTCGTACAGCTTCATGGTATGCGCAGTCAACTTGATCCGCGGTAGTTGGAGCAGTCCATTGCGTCGCCCTTCTGTTTGAAGATGGGGACGATGGTACTTGTCCTCCATGCATCCGGCATCTTTCCTTCCACTGTTACCTTGTTCAGGAAGCTGGTGAGCCACCTTATGCCGTACTCTCCGAGCGCCTTCCATGCCTTCCCCCATCTGGGCCAACCGCTTTCCAACCTTCATCTCAAGTGCCACAACTAACCTCATCTTAGTCAGCCAGCTGTTTCGAGTCTTGCATGAAGAGGCAGCCTGATCTTCGAACGCTGACGTAGTTTGCAAAGTCTGATTCCCCTGTGTATAGCGGGTATCGTGACGGTAATCCAAGCATCGTGCCAGCACGACCGATAATGCTGACCGCATGCTCGTCGTGCCTGCCAGGGAGAGATCAGGGTGAAAATCGTGTCGAGTACGTGGTCGCAGAAGTACGACCCCCCCCCCGAAAATCGAGATCCTGGCACGACCCCCAAAACAGAGCAAATTAATTCAATTAATTAATCAAAAAAAATCCTGCAAAATAAATCAAAAAAAAAATCCTGCAAAATAATGTTATGGACGCCTCATCTTGTCATCTATGCACTGTCTTTCATCGCTGCACACTTTTGTGTATTTACTGAAATATCGACTCGAGGAAAGAGGCATTAACTTTGTGTGACCTCAAAGTCAGGTTCGTTCAGAAATGCACAGAAATCCTGAAGGCACGGGGTTGCGATTTAATCTTGATTCTGCTTGAGTATATCAAACAGCCGAGTGTATCAATCAACGGCCGATTCAACGGCAGCTGCGGCGCGATTGTCACTGGGTCAGATTTGCTGAAATCCCGAAAAAAACCGTCGAAATCTACACCCTCGATGAAAAGGTTGCATTCTTCCATTTCATAACCTTTGAAGCAGTTTGAGGTAGGGTTAGATAGAGCTGGATTTCGCGTTTCCAAGAAGTATTGAAATTGCTCTGAAAGTCTTCCATGCAGAAAGATAGGGTCTCTCAAATTTCGTCGAGTAAACGTCGAGGACGCTGAAATTTTCACGCGAGTTTTTGCCACTTCAAGAGCAATATCTCTCTTAAAACGTGAGATCCTGAAAGTTGAAGCATAGTTTGGAAGTGGAAGGTTTGCGCTTTCTGATGGTCTTTTTTAGCTTTCTCTTTTTTCTTTTCTTCTACATTTCCTAGTTGAGAAGATATCTGCGTCGAGTATGTATCGAGGACGGATCCAGCCACCTGAAAATCCGCTCCCTTCTTCACCATTGCAAGTGTAATTGTTGGCAACGCTTGAAATGGGTCTAGAAAACATCCTCCCAGCATAAGCAATAGGAAAAGGGGCAACCGTCTCATCGAATTTTGTCTCTGAGTATAGGCCATGCATCCGACCTCACTCAAAGTTGCAGAATCGATTCGAAGGTGTCATCTGAAGAACAACTTCATTTGCCTTCTTCACGGTTGTCGTTTTTGCGACAGGGTCCCTAACAACAGTGTCATTCTCAGCGAGGTATTAAGGGAGAAGGAGCGAGCGATAGGCAGAGGAGGTGCCTTTGCAGCGCGTGCGCACATGTGGCAGTTCTTTTGCGGGGATGCACTTTCATTCTTTGTACTGCCTTCAAATACGCCCTTCTCATGAAGGTGGAGGAATGGAGCGACTGAACCTGCAAAGAAAATTTAATATCATGTTTTTTTTCAGATATTTTCATTTTCTGCTGCGCTATACCCTCTTACCTATCTGCACACACGATACCACTGCTGTTACTGACCCCAAGAGTACGACCCCCCATGACCCAACAGGTACGACCCCCCTGTCGAGGATTTCCTCGACCGATATTCACGGGGGTCCGATCATTGATGTGTGATTGATGTGATGTGAGATTGCAAAATTGGCGATATTGCAGGTCATGAAAATGACTTAGATGCGAAAAGTTCATATTTGGTCGAAGCGCTCAGGCTGTTACTGAGATAGTGCTGAATGAAATATAGCGTCTTCTAGGAGATCACTTCTTCTAGGTAGGCTTAAGTCCACTATCCTTTTGAAATATGGCTTCTCATCTTCTTTTGCTTAGAGCCAAGTCCTTGCGTTTTCTCACAAAGCTCGGAATGTCATATACTTGCTGTTTCCGGTGAAGTGTTCTGGAATTCATACTCCGAGGTCTTAATATTACCTCAACCACTAACTCAACCTGGCTGCGCTGTAGCGAGGCAAGCAGAAAATACAATGTTATGGACTCATATTGGAAAATGCGATAGGCACGACCATCATCCTATGTTAAGCAAGTACTATATATTGCGGAACTAAATTGGTCCTCTTCCCCACCACCACCGGAACCCCACTTCCCTGCGTAAGCTCACCTATTAAGCTGACGCGTATTCACCAAAACGTATTTTATATTTATTCTAGAGGGCGTCATAACAATCACGATACGGCGATATAGTGACATCTCACTTCTAATTGTAGCTTAGTTTTTGGGGCTTGAGATTAATTTTCCCCTTCTCCCCTTATCCTTCCCTCCTCCTTCCGCTGCCCTTCAGCTGCTACTGCAGCACCATGTGAAATATCCGAACTGCGCTCAGTAGTTGCTTGTATAGCCGTTGGGGTGTTTTCATGGCAAGCATGCAGTTGCAAAGCATCGAAAGCTCAAGTCCTGTAAGCTTCACAATTTTCTCAGCTATACCTATTCCACGAGTTCTTGATCACGCGTTTTCCTGAGGTCGGACACATATTACAGTGGTGGTCAAAAGTGTTTGCCAAGACTTTTTTCGTGATCTCGTTTCTTTTCTTCAGAGGAATAGTTGAGGATCAATTGAAGCCTTTCTTTCAAGTGCTTTGATTCATGATGGTTTATATAAATAGTGATTGTTGATCCTGAAACACTCCTTTATCCACCCTCCATTCTGAAATAAGGACAGAAAATTCACAGTTTTTGAATAACTCAAATCGTTCACCCGACAGGCCTGTAAAGAAATAGAATAGTTATGCTTGTTTTTTCGCATGTTAATTTCCTTGTGTACGGCTTTGCTAGGGCGGAAGTGGTGTACTTGGCAAAGTGCAGACGCTATCACGCAGCGGTCCGGGATCAATATCCTGGGTCGTGTGAGCCCCCGGGCCAACCAAGCCTTCCATCCTCCGGGTCGGTTAATTGGTACCAGACTTGTCTGGGAGGATAAAAAAAACACTGACTTGTACATCGGCTGGCCCCCGCAAGTCATTGTATAGGCCACATCGCATTCAAACGCCACTACGAATGTACAAATGGAAGTAGAATGCGTGCCGCATCCCAAAAGGGATTGATCAACGGCAAATGCTTTATCCTTTTATGTTTATGGTTATGTTTTGCACAAGAAGCTTCGTGCTTCTCCACGATAAGCTATAGAAAAGAAGATCTTGTAGGCTTTCATCTGGTATTTCAATCAAAGCTATAACCACTATCTCCTCATTTAGTTGTTTTATTATGTGTTATTGAGGTTTCATTTCTATATTTTGAATTGTTTTTGCATTTCAAAGATCTACATTGAGACCAAACAATCACTCCATTACTATCAGCTGAACTCACTTTAATTTATTGAAAAAAAATTAGTTCTTAGCTATATTCGGATTTTCAACAGTACATGTTATAGTGATTACTGGTGTTTGCGCATGATTCACGCACAAATAAAGAATATTGCGTATCTGAAGAGTTCGTTCTACAAAATATGTATCATCACAGGATTCGTTGATATCGGTGAGCGAAATACGTAGTTCTGGTGCAATCAATTGCAGGCTTTACTTATTGTTGTTCATTTTAATTGCATGGATAATTTTTAGAATGAGGTGTCAGAATTCTACTTTTTGGTATGAGACTGGAAAAAATCTTCTTCTCATCGTCATGCGAGGATAGAATCTCCCATCCGACTTGGGACAAAACTATGAGAGACCATGCTGCATGAGAGCCATCAACTTATTTCACATGTGGGCTATTTAGAGCGTAGTTCACTCACAAATGTTCTAGCTATCGCCCATTTTTCTTCTCTCCTCTGCGTCAATGCTTTCATAGCGCTCTCACATCAGTTTTTCTACTTTATTTGCTTTCTGGCTTTATTAGGGGGGGGGGTGCGAAGGCATAGGCCATTGTCTTTCTAGGAATTTCCTGTGTTGTGGAGCCGATTCTTCACCAAGGAGTACCTTGAAGTTCTTGACAGTTTGAGATATGATCTTCCAACGAGCTCACGGCTGAATTCCGTATGTTACCTCCACCGCTGAGGTACCTTCTGGGTCTCCTCTTCGCTAGAATAAGCTGTAGATTTGCTAGATCATAGGCCGTAGCTAGGTCCAGAACCCTACTCCTTCTCACTCCTATCCCTCCACCTCCATACACCCTTCCTAGGCCTCTTCTGCCACTAGTGAGGTAATCACCTTCTGTATCGATCTTATGGCATCGTCTAGGCTCAGAGAGAACTCGTCCTTCTCATTTTAGAGCGACCAGACTGCGGTGCGCGTGCACGAACAGTACCGTCCAGTACCACTCCCTCGTGTGTGTTCTCACGGCCGCACTCCAATCTCCGATTCTGCTCACAGCGGAGACATATATAATAGACTATTTAGCTTCTTTAGCCGACTTCGTCGTTCCTTATTTAGCCCACGAATACTGGCACGAACTTTGCGAGGAGGACTCCTGCGCGAACTGCCGGCTGACGGTCATAGCTACACTGAAATCTCTGGCTTTTTTATGATTTTTGTGACTAGGGTCTTTCCTCACCGTCTGTCAACCTTTGCCTGACGCTGATACTACAATGGATCCGTTCCTGCAATTTCTGCATGGCTTAAGCCTCGACAGGGATCGAACCCGCGGTTTCAGATGATCATTCTCTACATACTTAACCAGCCGACTATCTCTGTCTTCATTTCTATTGAAATAACAACAAAAAATATTCAAAAATGTTCTTGCAGGATTTGACGTAATTCTATTTCATTCATTTTTCAGTGACTCTCCTCAATAGCTATATTGGTGGTGTATTCCCTTCCTGGGGATGGTTTACGGTCGTTTACTCAAAGCTCGGAAAGCCGTATGCTTACGTCTATCTGTTCATAGTCTGGGGTTCAGGTATATTTTCTCACAAAGTTCGCATTCAAATAAAATCCTACCTTTCTCAGTAGGAGCAGATTGAAAAAGGTTACGTAGACAGTACTCAAATTATAAGGTTGAAATATAATAATGTAGCGCTTGCGTTCTGCAGAAATGCTTCAAAGGATGCATAAGAACATGAAACTAACCAGTGATTTCTCCCTCGTCGTTATCCATGACTTGAATTTTGCAAGAATTCCCTGAATTGTGAATGAAAAATGACATTGAGTGGCGCGTCTTTCTCACTCTCACAATCTGCACGACGTAGTCTGCATGAAATTGGGCCGAAATTTGGCCTTTGCCTATATGCACGCCAAGGAATAGCAGTCGTCGAAAACGCCGATTCTGTAGCAGACTTTCCAGCTTCTAAGCACTACATTTGAATCATTTATGATATTTTAGAAATGGAAATCAAGGTCTTGCAAAACAAAAAAGGTATTTCAAGTACTATCATAGCTCAGCAAGCGACACGCACTGACGATAATACACTTACAATTGAAAACGGTCCGTTTTATGATACAACCTGATACTATTTGCGATAGTTTTAGGAATCAACCAAGCGTTATCGGTATCGATGCTGGCCGCAAATCGTCTCTCTGCTATTATTTTCCCACAAGGATATCATAAGGTTCATCATTCATTCTAGTTTTGGCTTTTTCGGACTCAGCGGTAAGAACTGATCATCGAATGAACCTCTTCGAAGTTGTACTGATGAGTGGTCCTGAAGTTCTTGTAATTACACCATTTATTGGTTAGCATTCGGCAATAGATCACTCATCATACAATATCAAATAAAGCTTAGAGATAGCAGCATTTTATCATATCTCTTCAAAGTTCTTTCATGTGGAGCAGGAACTTTAGCATATTACGTGACGCGTTACTGGAAAAATAGGGATTTTTTGTACCTCAGAATGACCAACACTGGTTTTTTTTATATTAATGAGGTGTGATCTCCTAGGCAAAAATAAAATGAAACCAAAACTGACTCTTAATTCACATTTTACTGATGGTTAATGAACGAACAATCCCGTCACGTCCAACGAGCCACTGCCCACTTTTCGAAACAAGCAAATTCTTCCTCTCCGCGCATTCCTTCACTCTCGGCACTACTATCGAACAGTAGAGAGCCATGATCGATTAATTCCTTGAAAGTTATTCACTATGCTGAGTTGATTTCTTGAATCCATCGATGTTTCCACGATGTTAGGTGAAGTTGTGCTTCATCAGTTTACCTGTCTTAGAACGGAGTGATCTCTAGGCAGCCGAGCTGGCAAGAACTTCGTGCAACTTTCGTATCGTGCAGGATTCTGCAGAATTCTCTGACTCAGATGTTGCGATTTCTCTTGAGCTTCTATAATCACTTCTTGAGCTCTGAGGAAGTCGACCGTCGCAAGAACCTCAAGCGGATTCGGATTTGATGATGTTTGATATCGAATTATGGCTGTTAAAAATGTACTTTTTGTTGTTCTACCTCCTCACGGCTAACTAGACTGTGAATCTCCTTCATAGCAAGAAATATTGACAATGCAGCGTTGTAGCGACATATCTATCCAGCGCTGCTTGCTTTCACTTTATTGGCACCATTTGAAAGCTAGGCTTTCCAACATTTACGTGGTCTTCGTGAAGAAATGCTCTGGGACGGCTAACTGCCGACAGTTGCGCGTGATCGCTAGCTCAGGTGACAAACCACAGATTGAGTTGTTGAAGTCCAGTCCAACTTCGCGCGTACATTTCAATATTTTCTTGGAAACAATATCTCTTCTCTTCCACTTCCGAGCTAATCGTCGACCTGTTACCTAGTTCACTGATTATTGTAAAGGTGGTTGCTAATAACTGTCCGGAGATTCTTCGCCACTTTGCGTGTGACACTACCAGACACCTTGAAGAAATGGAGTTGTTACTTTATGAAGAGCTGAAGGCTAGAACAAACGAATATTAACCAATCTTACGTGGTGAAATAAAGAATGAACATCCAAGTGTAATCAAATCGTAAAAGCTAGACTTAAAACTCCGTTGGTTTGAGTGAAAAATTCTATGCGATGCGCACTTATTACCATCATTTGTGGCTACCCTGTACTTCTGTAAGTAAGCGGAATCAGAAGACACAAGTGAAATTCTATCGTTGCTCGAATCTCTGCCGATTCGTAATAAACTGTGCACCTTACAAAGATGGGTATGTGACGTCATAGTTCTTTCGAGTTTTCATGGTAAGGTTTGTGGCGAAGTTAAGTTGTAACTTACGGCTTGATTTCAGAGAATTATAGAGTATAGTTGTCTAATTTCTAAAGGCTGCAGTTGATTGGGAGACATTCAAGTGAAATGAAGTGTAGTAAAAGAGAAGAATTAGTGTGTAAGAACACTAAAAACACAATATCAAGGAAAAGGTAGTTCTGAGTGCTAGGTTCATTAGGCGTATATGTCTATAGCGTGTCTTTACTATATTAATGCATGCTAATTAGACACTATAATACTACACCTGAACTATAGTGTCCGAATTTTTGAAGTAGTACATGCTCCGAACCTGATTCAGTAGAAAGCAAATTATGTGGACAGGTTGACATATTTGCCCAGACTTCTTCAGATTCTTTGAAAAGAATAGCTTTTTCAGTTATGGAGTGGGCAACGTTTAAAAATCGCTGTGGCTATGCAAATTGTTCCCGGATATACAGTCCCTCTTGTTATCCTCAGTAACGATGTAGGGTTCGAAACAACTGACTATGGAGGTTTGATGCCCGTATTCAGCGAGTACGATTTCTCTTCTTGTAGGCGTTTGATGGAGTCAATGATGATTGGCTCTTGTTTTTTGGTGGCTCAACTGAATTTCGCTTCGAAACACCACTGAATGTTTCAGCAAAACAGCAACGGATGCGTATTTCACCGCCGGTGGTATTTTTCTATCAGCAAACAGTATATTTCTCATAGTGTCATACTGCTATTTATTTTACGTTCTCCGCAGAAGGAATAACGCCCAGCTGAAGGTTCGTGACATTAGTGCGTGGCACAAGGCAACGAAATGACTTCCAGCTTCAAACCGATTACCTCAATAGGAAAGAGATGGGAGAAATAACAACTAGGGTGCCGCAAAGTAATATGTGCGAGCCAGTGCTACCAAGAGTAATATAAGTGTGAATACAGCACATACTGACACCAGCTTCGAAGGTCCCATAGAGGTGATCAGGCCATAAACAAATATCCTGCAATGAAGTATTCTTCTAGTCCTCTTCTTTAGAAGATTCACACAGTCCAACATGCACAACGTGCGAAATATAGGCTAATGATATGTCGGCATATATTCATTGCTTTCAACACCACCAAACAACAAAAAGTACCTTCTGTTTAAGAAAATCAGAGCGCGTCGACTATGAACCATACATCACAAGTGCCTACAAAATGCGAATGTTTTGTGCAAAATGTCTGACCAGCTGAATGTCTTCTATCAGTCGTCACTAATTACAATTATCATTTATCAACTATCAGCAGTCATTATGAATCACTAGTTACCAGATTCACTTTGAGCCGTCGTCAGTTGTGGTGTGTGGTCTGCAGTCGATGCTCTTCTGGTTTCTGAAATAGAGTTATGATAGTCATTTCAGACATCTAGAAGAAATACGGTACGATGCGACAACACTAGAGAAAAGCGGAGTGACTTTCGTTTGTTCCTGATGGCTTCTGCTATAGGTGTGCATCCTCAACCTTATTATGAAGATTTCCAATCATTAGATAAAAAACAGTGCAACATAGCTGAGACTGTTCAGATTGTTACCTAGTTTGTCTCGCTTTGTAATCCTTGAATTTCAGTGGTGATCCAACTGATCTTCCTAGTTTTCATGTTTATGGAAGTATGTCCATGGATCGATATTGCGCCAAGCGTCTCTTACCTTCTTTACAACCCCCTCAGGTGAAGACACTTTTTGTGAAGTTGCTTGTAAAATAGTAACAGATCAGCATTTCAACTTGACCATCTGAAATGTTTTATTATTCAGCATGTTCAGTATGGAATTTTCAGCAATCTCTACGCCGGTGCTAGCGCTTACCTTCTGTGGATTTTTAGCAACGATCTTCGAAACTACATCTACATAATTCTACGTATCAAAAAGCGCATGCAACCTTCACAGCTACAAATTGCAGGGTGGGATATAAGTGTGGTGACAAAGTAATTGTGGTCTAGTTTGAATCAGAAAGGTCGAAACGAGATACCAAGTACAGAAACGCTTAACCATATCCTTCTAAACAATTGTTAACATTTCTCATCGGAGATGGCAGCCTATGAACTAGGCACGTTTCTTCGAACGTAGCCTGCAGAAATTGGGCTTTGCCCTCATACATCCTTCAGCTCCTCATCTCATACTTTTTGAAGAGCGGATGTTAGCCATCGTGTCACTTCTTCGGTTTCAATAACGACTACAATAAATATTCGGCTACACTCAAATCGACGGTTTTGGATGGTCAATCTTTGTGCAACTCAAAGTCGGACAAATGGGCAATGCGCCAGACTTTCGCGGAACTCAATTCATAAGCCGGTATATTGCCTTGCTAGGAGTTATTTTATGAGTAGTAAATTTGGCGGAGCCTTCTCCAAAATTCTATCTCGAATAGCATTTGGCTCAAGATTTTACTGCCACACAGGCGAAACCAACTGAGAGGAAGAAGTCGCGGATACCCAGTTCATTGCTAGTGATGGTGTATTGATTCGTGTTGTTTCTGCATTGCTATTCCTTTGAAGTCTCTAGTAATTACTTCTGATCTTTTTTGAATGAAGGCATAGTGAGCCATGAAAAATATTGAAGGTTTCTAGCCGATCCCCACACCCTTGATATTTTTAATTCTGCTCATTCTCTCCCTATCCTAGAAAGCTTATCGTTAAAGGCTTTCAAAAGACTGTGTTCCTAGTTTCTATGCACAACTTCTCACCCGACAAAGATTCCTGAATAAACTGTCGATTCCAGCCTCCCCCTTTTACATCACGAGCTGGATACGCTTTGTGAAAAATCTCGTCACGTCGCCCCTTCGGCTTCCGTAACCGGTCACGATCTATGAGAAGGACCCGACATGTGACTGCAATTGAGAGTCGTATGACGGTCCGCTGACTCATCCATTGGGTACGACAGGTCCCGGAAAGAATCCACCCGACAGCACGTGAGATTAGACATTCCTTTTGGTATGGATTAGTTGGGGCCATTCACCAACTAAGGGTCGTGAAACAATGGATCTATAGACTTATGCACAAAAGATTATAGCGAATTTAAAGTTCCAATCATGAACTATGCTCATTGTATAGTAAATGTATTTGCTGAAGTCCTTGTCACCATATTTACGTCCAACCCTGTAATATTGAAATCACGAAGACACATATCTAATAAGGCCTTCTTCGAGCCTTTCGTCCATAACAACTGGTCGCTTAGTGGTTTTATGTGGAGTAAAGTCAGATGTAACGTTTATCGTCGATGCAAGAGATTTCTATCAAATTCCACTATTACTAGAATATTTGTGACGTTATTGAGGGGTGGAATGGTGAACTAGCAAGTGACTCCATTCTCCATTCAAATGCATGTGGTCAGATCAAATTTTGGACGACGCTGTACCAACCAGTCATTCCAGGCTTGGGAGAAGAACCTTGAGCAAGAAAACGCCGTAAAAAGAAATCTCTATTTAGGAAAAGTAGTAGTTCAAGTCGGATCTCGTATTCTCTATCTGAAAAACCAATGAATTATTGAAGAGTGTCCATCTAAGAAATTATGCAGACTACAAACCTTCCGCGGAAGAAATGGAAGAGATAGGAAGACATTACGTTTTCGACGTTTACGTCATCACTGGCAGTCAGAAACTTGGAAACGCTCTGAAAAACTCTGAAACTACATAAACCTTCATCGGAAGTATTGTCGCATTAGTCACGGGCATGGACAAACATGGAGCAATGCTCAATGAGAAAGCAAAAGCCTAACAGCAGAGCACTGCGTTGGGCGCTTCGTATGTCTGCCCTTCTTTTGGGGGGATGTGCATGAGTAGGATATAGCTTGCTTTCGGGGAATAAGCCTTGAGGAGGAGGAGCTACGGATCGTAGCCCAGTCTGCTATCCTCCCTTGCTTCTCCTCATTACGTACGGCTGCGCTGCTTTGTGACCCTCCAAAAACAGTGACACAAACTTTCGCAGGAATTTTGTGCAGCTCTAAGCATCATCTATCCATTTCAGCAGTGGTACTATTATTGACTCAGTTATCTTCTTGGTGATTTACTGGACCGCAGAGCAGACCCAAGCTCGAGTGTAAATCAGATTTCGGGGCTGGTAGATGTTCGTCATACTCGACGACTGTCCCAAGCGATTGCTGAGCCACGGCCAAGCGATGGGCGATTTGTGCCAAGCGATTGCCCATCGCTTGGCCGTGGCTCAGCAATCGCTCGGCAAAAATGCAAGACGGGCGTTGGCTCCCCCACGATCGATGCAGAGGCCCGTCACGTGCTCTGCCGTCAACATCGGTATCGATCGCGGGCGGAGCCAAGTCCCTCCCTTGCACTTTTGCTGGAGCCATGGCAGTCAGCGATCGCCGCCATCGCGATGGCAGAGCAATGGTCGAGCGATGGCCGAGCAGGGCGATCGCGATTGCTCATCGCTTGGCAATCGCCGAGTCTGATCGGACAGCTTGAATATTGAAAAAGGCTCGAAAGGGCGACATTTCACAAAAGATTTGCCGCATACTCGCGGGTGTCCTCAAAACAGCGTCGTCTCCAGCTCGTGTGGGACTCTGAACTAGTTACATCGGCGCTATGTGCCTCTCGTCGATTCACCGATACTCGTGAAGTTGACACTGCCTCGTCTCACTTCGGCTGAGAGGGCCCCACACGAACGGAAGGTCCCGGCGTCGTATGCCGCTCGTCCGCCTCCGAATCAATGAAAAATGCCCTTTATCATCGCCCTGCGGCGGAAGAATCAGGGTGCCAACACCGCCGGCGTCACGTCGCGCGCTGAATTTGTCCAGTTTATGGTCACTTCTTTTCGGTATCTTTACTAGTTGCAACACTTCCATCTGAATTCCACAGCTGTCAATCCTCCTGAAACCACCATCTTGACCTCTCAACACCCGTCCCAGGATTTCAATGCAGAGCATCGAGACTAAATAAATAATTAAACTAATGCCATTCAAGACTTCGTGTTTCCAGTGGGATTGAGAGCATCGGTTGACCAGTCTGACATGCCACCCGAATTGCATTGATGCTGATTGCTTTAGTACAGACAACCTGCAGTGACGACTGGCAATGTGCGCCGATCCTTCACACAAAACAAAAAAGAAACATCCCCCCTGCTCTGTGGGACCTGAACTATTACATCTGACCTGCTCGTGGATTCACCTATCCTTTGACGATTGACAGCCTCTTTGCTGAGGGGTACAGAACAAGACGGCGTCATGACGTTCACTTCGCTCCAATCCAGAAAATCCGTCATTCAATCCTTGTGGAAGATCAGAGCCAGTGTATCCGTGGCGTTGAATTTTGTATTATATATTTTAGGTCAACCTCATTTCGATGTCCATTTCATAAGTGCAACATTCCACTGAATTCCAACAGCGATTGGCAAGTTTATGAAAGACCTACGTATAGTCTGAGCCTCCACAACTCAGAGTTGTTAGAGAAGGCTGAAAACAAACAAAAACAGTATAATTGAAAAACAAACTTCGAATTTGCTCCCAGTGAGAGTAGAGCATGCGAGGAAGCCTACTGCCCCCGATGATTTATGCGGAATTGCTTTAAGCTAGCAACATGCCAGTGATAACGCGCGTCGCTTCCACGACAGGTGACGCCTTCGAATGAAGCACATCTCAATTCTAGGTCCGGTGCCAGAGCTGCGATCCGTCGCATGTTCGCCGCGATAACGTACCGACTTCCACATTTCGCAGAAAAACAAACTACCGTCGAACCATCGAAACCTGCGACGGGCTCTTGACCTGACACCAGTCTTCCCCGAGCTATGTGATGACAACGCTTAGTACCGCTGCCCGCGCGTTTCCACTCTCGCAACTGAGGCAATGTTTTGATCCAGATATGTGCCATTTGTTTTTGTCAGTTATTTGCCGAAGTCATTAAGCCGACAACGGGTCCCCCATGTCATGTTTCAGCTGAAGAATAATGAACCTATAGTGGGTGACTAAGAGCGATGTATCATGACGTTTTGCATTAATCCGAATCAAAGGAGTTAACTGTAATGATACATTGAGGATCAAAAGCTCTTTACGACCGTGTACCGATTTTATCCCAAACCTGTGCCTTTATCTTACCTGTGAAATCGCCTCGAATACATTACATCGTGTTTCAAATTGGATTCCATTCAACTAGTTAGATTATTGTTCATTGTTCTTCAAACCTTCTCCAGTTCAAAAAAACTTTTCCATTTCCCTTGTAATACTGTAGAGGTTTCGAATGTAAACAGATGGCCTGAGGAAACAAGTGAGCACTAAAAAAAATGAAATATTAGTGAACAGGAAGACACAGTGAGACAAATTAATTACAACGGATTTTTATCGTATACAGAGTGCACACAAACAGGCCATCGCAGCGGCCATGCAGCACATATCGGCCCCGGAGCCCCGCTCCCGATGACGTTGATGGTGGTGATGGCAGTCGTCAACTCTGAACATTCAAGTGTACAAAGGTGTTTGGGGTCAGTTATGGCGATGTGAACTGCGACAGTAAGGGTGACTATATGCCTTGAGAAGTCCTACACGGACGTGCCCTCCAGAGCTAATAACTAATGACTTGCTTTAGGATAATCGCTTGCAATGTGGCCGTTCTCTGTCTGTGCGCAACAAGTGCTAGGCAGTAATACCCACTTTCCTCGTCCGCAGCGATCCTGCTGTATGCACTCTATTGTTTGCGCTCTCAAATCCGTAGTGCTCTCCGAGCGTCTGTCTCCTCCCTACTCACTCTCTCAGCAGAAAATTAAATAGGCCCTTAACTTTAATCAGATGTCTTTCCCTTATTTTTTCCACGCTTCCCCCCCCACATCGCACCAATGTTTTCTTGTGCGGGGACTACACTAATTTGATCCTGAGCACGATGGCTGGTCGGAGGGATGGGGATGGGCGGTGGAAGGTGGGTGCGGTAGTTAGTGAAGATTAATAGAGCACAAATGTAACCGGCTAATGAGGCTGTCGTAAGGTGTGTCGTTAAGTCTGCAGCGGACCAGCGCTTGGCCGCCGAATACAAAGGTGTTTATCGCTTTGGTATGGTTCGTTACTATTGGTTTCCGTTACCTAGCTTGGCCAGAAGAAAAGTAAAAAAATAAATACAAAGTGTAATAGTTGTTTCCGTTCATCTTCCCGAATTCATGACCCCACGTGCATAATTTTTGGTGCCCAGAAGGAATAAACTGGTGAGTATGGAGGGGGAGGGGGTGAAGAGTGAGAACGAGCTGGCGTTCGACTCGATGAAAACATATCACAAGCTTTGGGACCATGATTTTTGAATCCCAGAGAGTCTGTTTCTTTAACCAAGTTTAGCATCACATAATGGTCCTTCAATTAGAAAACAATCCTATGCTGTAAAATCGGTCTACAAGGGGTCAGCGCTACGTAACCACGGACTTACATGAAAAACCATGGAACGCGTGGAACGATCGCGTCACCAATAATGGTAAGGGTAAATAGTTATGTATAGTAACTCACATAATAGTTTGTGGTTGAGTCGTGTAAACTGTCGCTTGTGGATATGTGGTGTAACGAACTTGGGCTGGATGCTGATAAGGTGAATAAACTGCGCCAGGGTAGACCGTCGTTTGTGGGTAACCAGGTTGAGGGTAGCTTGCATACGCTTGTTGCTGTTGAGGAATCTGGAAAGCTGGTTTTTAGCTCAGCAAAATGATGTTGAAAGGGTTTTAGAAGAATTTTGAGCATACTATGACACGCAGAAATATAATTTTATGGTTTGCAATATATGTATTCACTATTGACTAGCGATATCATTGCATGTGTAGCTATAGCGTATTCGTCTGATGGTAGAGGATAAAAACATTGGCTTGAACATCGGCTTGTGCCACAGTTTACTGTAAGGAGCATTGCATTCAAGTGCAAATGCGACTCTCAATGGAAGAAGAGTACATGGCGCATTCCAAAATAAGACTGATCAACGTCGAGAGATTTCTTGTTTCTTTTTACGATGAATAAATGAGGATGTCTCGCTTTTTTCATATCTGAATTGAAAAAAAGATGAAGGATTCATCGGTGAAGGCTTTGACATAGCCCAATCTTTGGCAGAATGGTACCAACCAGATTCATTGAGAACCGCGTATGTTTGATTACGTAGTTGGACAATATAGCTATTGAAGCTATCCAGATCTTCACTCTAGTCTTCAAAAGCTTTATTCATTGCTCCTGTTAACCCTTTGACTAGTGTTTGTTCACATGTGTATCCCTTAAAGGAATCCTTCGCGGAAAATTCTTGCATTCTTTCTCAACATGAATGTGTCAGTTGTGATCACTGGAAACAGCACACAAAGTTTCACGCATGAAGATTCGGTTTCCGAAGAGAAACAAACGTACAAAAACTACACTCTATGGACAATCGAAGGTAATTCGGGCGGAGCCAAAGGCGAGGCATGGAAAGAAGTTGGCCTTTGGCCGGCTACGTATCAGAATTCAGAACCGAGAATTTTGTATAAACGACATTATAATGTCACAACCTAGTAAGCAATGTGTCAATATAATCTCTAGACCATTGAAAAACTTATTCATCGAATATCATTTAGTGCTTTGACACTATTTGCTCTCGACGTAAGTTTATTGCTTTGCAGCAATTCTTCTCACTTAATTATCTTGGTGCTGTATTCCC